ACCCCAAGTACAATGGACTGGAAATGACTCAGATCTTTAAACTCTCAAAGCTGGTCCCCAGCGATATAATTCCCACAACAATGCCAACTTGGGACCAGATGTTTAAATACATGAGCCTATGGGGGACATTCTCACTCAGACCACCACAGTGTTTATCTAAATTTTATTCATAAAATGTTCACTGGCCGCCTACATGTACTTTATTAACTGTTACATACTAAAAAAGAGAAAAAGAAATGGCCTCTTCTTCCGCCCCTTAATGTATAGCCATGAAAGGATGGCAGACTAGTTGAAAACTGCATCTAGTAGTTGTGAGCATGGAGTTGTGCACACTGTCCTAAAAGGAGGATGTAGACTGAGGAAAAAGAGCATCCTTGAAGAGTCTGGACATCACGCCAAGCAGAAAAATGGAGTGAAATGGATGTGTCCCAGAGTAATTTTCATTTTGACAAGTAAATCAGGTCAAGTGGGCATTATATAAATGTTCCATAGAAAAACCTTCCCATGATCTGCATTCATTTTCAGGCTGGCAGTGTACATGATTCAGTGTTGGGTATTTAGTTAAAAGGCACAATTTAGAGCAAATCCCTTGGCAGGAAATCAGAAAAATTTCCCCTTCTTCTTTTGATTGCTGAAATGAATTAAGAGAATAAATTAATACAGCAGTCAGTTTAGTGTATTGCCTTTTATTTTATCGCACAGTCAAATAAAATGGTTTGAATTATTCATTGCCAGTTGAAGAAACAAATAATTTCTTGCATGACTGACAGTAACATTGTTTCTGCCTCTTATGAAACACATAGGTTTCAGAAAATTATCTCTCCCTCCTGGGTATGAAGGACTAAAAGAAGAATTCTTTCTATATTGTTGCTTTTCTGGTATACATACTAATTCTGAGAAACTTAATTTTATTTTCTTAATTATTTGGAAATGGAAAAACACATTTTTCTCCAATTCATTCAAAACTTCTCAGAGATTGTATTTTTCTAGACTACTATCCAAAAGTGAGCTAATATTTATTTTAAATTTTAGCCATTTGATTGTAAATAGATGAAAATTTAGCTTTTTAATTATGAATTTAATGGCTGTTAAACTTGATTCAATAAGGAGACTTTTATAGGATTATATTTTAGAAATATGGTAGAGATAATATCCTACATGTCTGAAGAACTATAACTATTAATTACTGTAGTAATAGCTGGATTATATTTATGATTTTGACAAATTCTGTGTGTGATTAAAAAGGAAATAAGTTAGACAGAAAGAGCCCCACTGTTCCCTGCATCCAATCTTCTGGCCCTTTAGAGATGTCTGTTTTTCACATAGTTTGAATTGCAGCTCCCAGAATGCCTAATGCTCCCCCTGAGCATATTCATCTCCCTATTTTAAATCAGATGAGTTGCTGGATACACTTGCAATCTAGGCTAGAAGAATGGGCCTCTGTCACACTCCACATGTTCTCTATAGTCTCTCAAGGGCCATTAATGCACAACTGTTGGCCAATCAAATGTAACTTTTGCTAATATCTAGAAATACAGGCAGTATGTCTTCCAGTAATAAATGTCTAACACTTAGGAATGAAATCCGTTTACTGCACCAGGAGATTATCAGACCACTCTGAATGAGCTGCAAGGATGTTAGTGGGTATGCTTCCCATCAGGTCCGCCATTTGTGAAACAGGACTGTTCCCAGAAGCTTTATTTCTTTCAGGGAGAGACCAGATTTCTGGGTAGGTTCTCATTTCAAGAAGAATGAAAGCACTGTTGTGTGGGAAATGTGTATGTGACAGAGAACATACAATAGTTACCTCATTTCAATTTCCCCGTCATTTACTCGTCACAATCCTGAACAGACTGTGCATGAGTGTTCGCTGGGGGATAAGCCTGGATTTCAGAACATAAGCTGCTTTGTAAGACTTTGTTTTTAAGCCAGCCAGCTTGTAAACCTTGCATAAATATAGAAATGGGCAGGTTTGTAAGGACTACTCAAGGAATCCTATAAAGGCGTATATTTGAACAGAGCTTTGCAGTTTTTGTTATAATTTAAAAAGCATAGCTTCACTATTTAAACTAAGGAATAGCAACTGCTTAAAAAACTAAACATTTAATAAGCATAGCTTCACTATTTAAACTAAGGAATAGCAACTGCTTAAAAAACTAAACATTTAATATTTTAATTATATTATTAGAGGTTTTTTTTTCTTAAGTCTAATTATGCTTGGATTCTTCCATGTTTTATTACCATAAAAGTTAAGTTTTAATTCCAGTGATTTTCCTTTACTTTTTATTTTATATTGAAAATGGATTCTTCTCTCAAGTAATACATCCCAACCACAGTTTCCCCCTCCTCCACTCTGTCCAGTCTCCCACAGCTCCCCTCTTCCCCAGATCCACTCTCAGTCTGTCTCCCATTAGAAAAGAGCAGGCCTCCAAGGGATAGCTAAACCCTGCTAAGGGTCTGGGGTATATCTCAGGGGTAGAGTACTTTTCCTGGCATGCCAGGGGCGGGGTTTGGTTTGGTTACCAATGCTAGCAGACAGGCCGAATACTATTAGAAAATAGAGGGCTGTAAGGTTAAATCCTTCATTCCCCCTGTTAGTTGGTGGTGGCCTTTACCGATAACTTAGTTTCTTACTGTCTGTTCCCTTACATGCAAAGAAGCAGATACAATTCTTCCCCAGGGTTTTTGTGGTTGTTAGTAATCTTCATGACAAGCCTTAAAAATGGGGCAGTGATAGCATATAGTTGCCAAATAAAATATTTTGAATTCCAGAAGATTTATCATATGCAGAATCTTTGAGGACCTCGGGCTGGACCATTCTTAAGTAAATTTGGCTTTTCTGAAGTTTCTAAAACCCAAAGATTATTGCACTACATTAATTGTCTTGCTTGATGAGTTTCGTCAAGCTGCATAGTTTCACCAGCTGCATTTAATTCATGCTCTGGAGATATTTTTTAGATGCTATGTGGGATTTGTCAGATTCCTCTTAGGTGAAAGCTCCTTGCAGCTTTGAGACTATCATGCTTACTCTGTGTGTGTGTGTGGGGGGGGGCTCACATCAGCTTTCTTAGGTAGGTGAAAAATACAGCCATTTCATAGCTACAGAAACAGATGTCTAAAGAGAATACTGATAGGCAGCTTGAGCGGAAACAGCTGTCTACCCCAGATGTACATGATGGAGCATGTAGCATGGCCTTTGGGATGAGATTAGATCTAGAGGGTGGAGCTCTCCACAAATGGGGTTGATTCATGCACACACTCCCTTGTGTAAACACACATATAAATGTATATATACGCATAAACATGTACATGTATAAATCCCAAAGAGCTGCCTTGCCCGTCCAGCCTCATCAAAGGCCTCATTTACCAAATGGTTTGGGGAATGCACACCAGATACACTGAAATGCAGAATGCAATATCTCAGAACTCCCTGGCTTATCAGAGAGGCAATCAATAACATTTTGTTAAAGCCCCTCCCTTTCAACAAAATACAACCAATGGGCTTTAGATGCATGTTCCAGTTCCCTTAGACAACAGTTGTGTTCTTTAAAGTTTATTACTTGAACTAACTTTCTTAGTTTCCTTATATTAAAAAGTCAGCACAGTCAGAAAACAAAAACAAAACAACATCAAAAAAAACCCAAAAACACCTCACACCTAATGCTCTCATCAAACTCCTCCCCTTGTTGTTAAAAGTTCCATAAGAAAAAAGGAGGAGGAAGATGTAACAGCCAGAGGTGTGTGACTCCAAGGAAACAGCATCTTCCAGATACTACAGGGTTGATGCTACAGGTTGATGAGACTGACAGCTTGTAGAAGTCCCACTCCTAACCAAGAAACTATTTGCAACTGATACATACTGGAAGAGGGAAAATCGGTTTTCTCCAAAGGATATATAGACCATACTCTAGGGTAGGCCCCAAGCTCAGGAGAAGCTGGCTAGCACAAATATGGACCCCATGCTTTTGTGTGTGCTTTTGTTTTGTTTTGGTATTTTTTGACATTTTGGTTTTGTTTATTTTGAGTTTTCTTTTAATCAGAAAGAATGTGGATTGGGTGGGTAGGGAGGTGGGGAGAATATGGAAGGAGTTGGGAGAGGGAAAAGAATACAATCAAAATACATTGTATGAAAAAAAAGCCGCTAATTTTATTTTTAAAGATTGGAATAAAATATATGAAGTTTAAATAATATGGGTGTTACCAAAATTGTTAGGGTAGCAATAACTATATAAGTATTAAAGCCATATGTAATGAAAACAATTTGGATTTTTTTTTTTTTGATCAAGCGAGCACAGGCACTCTCAAGAAACATGTTCATATGCATGTGTTGGTAAGAGGAATTGTCCAGATTTATAGATTTCCCCCTAAGGTTCAGACTCAGAGGTATCAACCTTAAAAGGCACGCTCACATCTTCTGAATTTTAGTTTCCTGTTTTCCCCTTTCAGGGCCTGAGGCAGCATGCTCTGCAAGGGACATTCCATGGCGTGGGCAGGGGCGGGGCGGGGCTGTGGCTTGGGGGTCTGAGCACGAGGCTCAGAGGGCGTGGTTTAGGGCGGGAACACGAGGCTCAGGGGGCGGGCCCTCCACTCCGGGGCGGGGCCTAGGCGGGAGCACGAGCCCCAGGGGGCGGGCCCTCTACTAGGGGGCGGGGCTTAGGCGGGAGTACGAGTCCCAGGGGGCGGGCCCTCTACTCGGGGGCGGGAGCACGAGGCTCAGGGGGCGGGCCCTCCACTCGGGGGCGGGGCCTAGGCGGGAGCACAAGGCTCAGGGGGCGGGCCCTCCACTCGGGGGCGGGGCCTAGGCGGGAGCACAAGGCTCAGGGGGCGGGCCCTCCACTCGGGGGCGGGGCCTAGGCGGGAGCACGAGGCTCAGGGGGCGGGCCCTCCACTCGGGGGCCTAGGCGGGAGCACGAGTCCCAGGGGGCGTGCCCTCCACTCGGGGGCGGGGCCTAGGCGGGAGCACGAGGCTCAGGGGGCGGGCCCTCCACTCGGGGGCGGGGCCTAGGACGAGAGCACGCCCGAACGTGCCCACGGCGTCCCGCCCCTCCGTGCTGCTTCCCAGTCAGCGTGCCTCCACGCGCAACAGGCCGTGCGCGGTGAGTGTGCTGGTCCCGGCTGGGCCGTGTCTTGCGGGGTTCGGACCTCGGGCGGGGCTTCGGGGTGCAGGGACGGAGGGCCCGGCTGGCGGGGTGCGGACCGGGCGGGCGGGGCGGGGCGGGCGGCCCCCGGCTTTCCGGAACCAGGCGGGGCGCGCCCCACGTGCAGGCCTGGCCGCCCACGCAGAGCTGCTGCTGACCGAGGCGGGGCGCGCGGGCGACGCCCGTCCCGGACTTGGAGAGAGGCCTCGGTTGTCACTGCGCTCTCTACGTGCGGAGGACTGCCCGACCGACCCCAGGTTGTCCCAACAGGTGAAGGAGAACAGGTTTCAGGAAGTCTGGGCTCCCGTTGCACCTTTCATTATCTAAACTTCCGGTGCGCCTAGCTTTTGGGCTGCGACTTTAGTGATCCCATCACACACACACACACACACACACTTTTTTTTTATACCAGGATGCGCCTAGCTTTTGAGCTGCGTCTTTAGTGATCCCATCACACACACACACACACACACACACACACACACACACACCCGCCCCCCATTAGTAAGACGCAATTCGTATTTGCACAAAGCCTCCAAACATTGCTGCCGGTCAGTGAGACATCTCTGAATTAATGAAACTTTCTGTGTGCTGGACACAGTTAACTTCAGGTTAGCCCGCTGCTCTTGTTACAGCAATATGTAATTTCAAATAGTCTGCATTTTATTTGTTTTGTATGTGTGGGTGCACGCATGCCATGGTGTGCCAGTGAAGGCTGGAGGACACTTGGAAGAGTCCTTCTGATATGTGGGTCTCAGGGATTAAACCCAGGTGGTCCGCAGGTGCCTTTACCCACTGAGCTATCTCTCAGGCCCACAGTATGTAATTATTGTCACTGTTTAATTGAGCCAAGTTCAAACTAGTGTTCTATAGGTTAGTGGGCCTAAAATTCATTAACTAAGGACTTCTGTGAATGTAGATTTCTGCCTCCAGGATTAGAGTGGTAATCCAACAGGTTTGATGTGCATGCAGAAATTTGCAAGTTGAATGCTTTGCTGTTAAAATCGTGCTGAGATGGAGAGAGTTACCCCATGGCCTGCTCCCACCCCCTGGCTGTTAATAAGTACTGGTGTCCTCAGAATAGCCCTTTCTCGTGCTAGCCTCCTGTCTTTCCCAAATGTTGTTTTGTGGTTTTTATTGTTGTGTTGCTTTTGGTAAGGCTTTTGAGAATTTGGTATACTCATTGTGAATAAATTCTGACTTGACTGGTTCTGGCGATATAGAGGTGTTGTCCCTTAAGAAGCTCTTGTGAGTTCTTGTCATTAAATTTTACTATGGGAAAGGTTAGGGTACCCTAAAATGTAAAGACTACATTTGTTGACTATAGTACGGGAACCAACCTTTATTCTCTTGTAGAGTTTATTAGTGCTGTGGCACTTACCAGTTCATAAACTGGGAACTCTTTACCTTTAAATGCTTTAAATAAACTCATTGAAAACAATTCCTCTTTAGGTCTTGTGCCCCCCCCCCAAAGAAATACTCTTATTTCTATCTGTGTGGTCCATTGGGCTTAAAGGCAAGCACTGCACCAAGACAAAGCAGTCTTTTGCTTAATAACTGTTTCCTGGGACCCAAGAAATATCTTTTGTTGCCCCTTGTGCTTCTTACTGCTTCTAAGTGTTAGTGGAACTTGGGATATTTGGAGATAGGCTTAATGGGGTAGCTCCTCTGATCTCCAAAAGCCGTAACACAAACCCAAAACAAACAACTGATGGGAGATGCCATTATGTATATATTTCTCATACTGGTTAATGAGTAAAGCACTGTTGGCCAATAGGAAAGGAAGATAGGAGGGACTAGGAGATGAGGAGGAAGGAGGAGTCAAGATGGAGAGTCTGGAGAGAATAGGATGCCAGCCGGCTCTCCAGTAAGAGCACGTGGAAATACATAGAAATGGGTTAATACTTAAGACAGAGCTAGCCGATAAGAAACTAGTACCTGGCCAACAGCATTATATCAAATACAGAGTCTCTGTGCATTATTTGTGGCTGGCGAGGCGGCGGGAGGAAAAACCTTACTCCTTACAAACAACAAAAAAGAATGGTGTAAGTAAAATATAAAATATCTGAGTTTCTAACTGACTGAAGTTCAGGGAAGAAAATAGATGGTGTAATAGTAGTCAAGATAAGTTCTATAGCCAGGAGGTGGTATAACATGCCTCTAATCCTAGCACTAGGGAGTCAGAGGCAGGCAGATCTCTGTGATGACATTTGAAGCCAGCCTGGTCTCTACAGAGTGAGTTCCAGGACAGCCAGGGCTTTACACAGAGAAACCTTATCTCAAAAAAAAAAAAAAAAAAAAAAAAAAAAAAAAAAAAAAGGATTAGTTTTATAATCTTGGGGTTGACTTTTGTTGGTGATTGTAGGTAGGAAAAGTCTAAGTGGTTTTGTTTTTGTTAAGTGTTTTGTGCACTTTAGCCATACCTTTTGGTGGCTGTGCTATTTCATTCTTAGGTTATTCTTAAGGAAAAAGCCTTTTCAGATATCAAACTGAGCAGTTGTGAGGGTAAGAGATGTGTGCCTTAAATATAAGATTACTCTGGAAGGTGCCTGTGTTGGATAGTTTTATGTCAACTTGACACAAGCTAGAGTTATCTAAAAGAGGGAACCTCCATAAGATCCAGTTGTAAGGCATTTTCTTAGTGATTGAAGGGGAAGGACTCAGCCCATTGTGTGCATGGCCCTCCCTTGTGCTGGTGGTCCTAGGTTCTATAAGAAAGCAGACTGAACAAGCCTACGGAGCAAGCCAGTAAGCAGCGCCCCTCCGTGGCGGCTGCATTAGCCCTTGCCTTCAGGTTCCTATCTTGGCTTCCTTCTCATGATGACAGCCAGGTAAACACTTTTCTCCTCAGGTAACTTGGGTCATGGTGTTTCATCACAGCAGTAGCCCTAAGACAGCAGCACCTTTAGTGATATAGGGAACAGTCTTAACAGTTTTAAAGTTAAATGTGAGAGATTTTTTTTTTTTTAGCAGTTTGCTACATGAAATGCTAACAAAATCAGCACAGGAGAAAGGTGAATTCCTGGGGTAGGCAAGGTGCAAGGTTCCAGGAGTTTTCTAATGGAAGCAGTCCCTCTTAGTTGTTCCAGACCCTGGTTGTATCAGGAGGTGGAAACCATTGCCCACCAGGGAGGCTATTAGAGTCTGAGTGACAAGGGTTTTGGGGGAGAGAGGGATGGTGACTGATTATCTAGGCAGCCTCTGCTTGGCATGTAACAAAAGTTCTAGACCCTCAGAAGAAAGGAGTGTTTACAGTGTCAGCTGTGTTGGTTGCATGTTTGGGCACCAGTTTTTAATTTAATGGTGGTAAAAACTCCAGAAATACCAGTCCCTGGTATGAGCTCCAAGCTGGCTTTTGAAAGAACAGGAGTTGTAGCCTTCTGCCTTAACTGTCTACACAAGTGTTCTTCACTGAGTCTATCTTAATATTTTGTATTTCTCTAGTTCTTCAGAATTCCAGCTGTGGCAGGTATTCTCACCAAATCTTTGATTAGTTGGGTTAAGTTGGAGTTTTAGACTTGTTCAGTTTCTACTTCAAATTGGCTCAGTTTACATCTGGGTTGCATTTTAAAAGCTTTTTAAAACATTAGTTGCTAGAGATGACTCTAGAACTTCCCAGACCAGAATGCTCCTTCAGTCCACAGAGCTGCTAAATGCTGCTGGAGATGAGAGGAAAAGACAGCTGTCTGCAATCCTGGGAACTCAACACAATAGGAAAGTTATAGCATTTTAAGTTATTAGCCTTGAGGAACATTGAATATTTTATAAGCCCTGTGATTTTCAGCCTTCTTTGGGAACAGGCAGTTTGTTAGGAATTGTAGAAACACACCTCTTTTCAGGATCAGAAAGAAACAAGAAAACGCTGTACGGGTTGACCATTCCTAATCCAAATCTGGCATGTCTTAACTTCTGAGTACCAACATGATACTGTAAGTGGAAAAAATTTCCTGACCTTAAATTGGAGGCACATGAAAATCACGCTATGTGTATGAGCTGCATATGGAGCATGAATGAATTGGTTATGGTTTTGATTTTAAATTGCTCCCCACCCCCACTCCAGCCTTTGTACTGGAAGCTTGGTTGCTAGCCTCTGTCTGGTACTCCTGGGTGCACTCTTCAGGCCTGTTAGGAGTTAGTTAGTTCATGGAAGGAGCCCTTGAAAGGGGATGTTGGTACCCTAGCCCCTTTTTGCCTCCTCATTACCATGAGGTAACTGCATCATCACAGCCTTTCGGCAGTGATATTGAGCTTCTCCACAAGCCCCAGACCACAAAGCCATCCAGTGGACTAATACCCGTGAAACTAAGCCAGAATAATTTCTTCCTCCTTTTATTTGATTATCTCAAATACACAATTTCAGGTTTAGACAACATGTCTCGTTATGTATTTGCAGGCACTCCAAAATCAAACATTCTGGTCTCAAGTACTTCTGCAAATTTTGTGTTCTGTGAATATTTTTATATTTTGAATTATGGTTCTCTAGACCCACATGAAAGGGACCTGTATAAGTAACAAGAGTTGTAGTTTGGGAATATTTGGGAGTGTTGATACTTTTGCTACCCAGATGTGTGCCACAGCTGGCAGTTGTCACCTGGGTAATGGCTATCTGGTCCACTTGCTGTCCTTGTGTCTTTATGCATGTTAAATTGGAGAAGTGAGAGGCTAATTACGTGACAAGTTTGTCTTGTTTCAGTTAAAAAGTTGGATCTTTTTGAAGACTTGTCATATACCTGTTTTTTTTTTCTTTTCATTTTTAAAGTTCTGAAATTTTTTTAATGGGCAAAGGGAAAGTTCTGTGATAGTGACAATTATCAAGAATAATCTCACTTCTAGTGTTTAGAGTCTCATTCCAGGCACCTGGTGATCACTGTCCAGGGCACACTGGCTTCTTCTTGGGAAGGGTTAATATGGAACTGTGTTGAGCAGCACCTGGCAGCAGACAGCTGTCCCTGATTCTGTATCAAATGTTTGTAACAAAGAGTGCATCTAATTAAACTGAGGACATGGTGTGATTGCAGCCAAATTCAAGATTTTTTGGCTTCACTGTTTCAGTGGCTACAGGCTAACCCTTTGAGTAAGAAATGCTGAGAGAGTTGAATGGTTTAATTTGGGATAATCAAGTCTCCCAATTAATAATGATTTCCAGGATTTAGTACTTGTATACATACAAAAATTATGTTTTCCTTTAGATGAGTGTACAAACCGAGTGGTGTTTAAGACTGAATCATCTTGGAAGAAATGACACTGGCTTAGGGCTATCTCATTCTGCAGAAAGTAGTGCTGACTAATGAGGAGTTTTCAAAGGCAAAATGGCCACAGTCACACATGGTGTATGTGTCTGCAAACCTAACCGTGTCTTTTATTCTTTCGTTAGGTTTGCATTTCCTCCCTCCTTGTGAATAATGCTAAAGAACTCAGAGCCTGCAGGAAACGGAGAGGAAGAAGACAGGTCTGTTCCCTGCAAGCAGGTGAAGGTAGATGTGTCCGACAGTATGTCTGCATTAAGTTTTGATAGCCCCACTGCTCTTTTTGAAAGTTTAATCTCACCCATCAAGGTAGAGACTTTTTTCAAGGAATTCTGGGAGCAGAAGCCCCTTCTCATTCAGAGGGATGACCCTTCAGTGGCCACATATTACCAGTCTCTGTTCAGACTCTCAGATCTGAACAGGATCTGCCTTCAAGGATTGTACTATGGAAAAGATGTGAACGTCTGCCGGTGCATCAATGGGAAGAAGAAGGTTTTAAATAAGGATGGCAAAGTACACTTCCTTCAGCTGAGAAAAGATTTTGATCAGAAGAGGGCAACAATTCAGTTTCACCAACCACAAAGATTTAAGGTAATGGATCCCCACACAGCAAAATTCTCATACATGTGGAAGTGTAGCATTTGGCCATACATCAGCTTAAGACCGACTGTATGGTTTGAAAATGAAGATCATTTTGAGAATGCACAGCATCTATTTGGTCTTTAAATACATTTGAACTTGGGAGAGTATATTGCCCTTTGGATAAATTTGTGTGTGCCATGTGCTCATGCATGCAGGCATGTGTGAAGGACAGAAAGATGTTGGTTGTCTTCCTGCGTTGCTTTCCACCTTATATATTTGAGATTAGAGTCTCCCTCTGATCCTGGACCTAACCATTTGTTTAGATTGGATAGTCACTGGGGTTGGGGGTCCTAACTGTCTCCGCTCCCTATCTCCCCAGTACTAATATTATACACATACTTGGCTACATCAGCCTTGATGTGGGTATTAAGGAGCTGAACTCAGGTCCTTCTGCTTGTACAGCAGGTATTCTTACCCACTGAGCCATCACCCCAGTCTCTGGCTGGATATTTTGAATCTCCAGCAATGATAGGTGGATGTTTTAGGTACCCTAGATTTGCAAAACCCAGACTCCCAAGTTTCTAACCTTACTAAAGTAACATTGCATCTCAACCGTGTGAGCTGATTAGTATTTGGATATAGTAGGGATCTCCGTGTTTTGTCCTGTTGCACTCTTTTAAGGCACATGGTAGCATCAAGGTGAAAACAGGTTATTTCCTGTTATTGCCTACATCCTTCCACGTGGAGGCTTCAGAGCTGTGACAAGGTGATTTACCAGATGGATATCCAAGAAAGACCTGTTCACATACTAATAACATAACTTGCAACATTGAGCTCCTGGGTGGTCATTGTTTATAAATAAATCACAGTCACTGAGCTTGTAACTGCAACCTTGACCAACATGGGTTGACTCTACATCTTTTATTAATAGGCACAGTTTGAAGATACAAAAATCAGAGGGCCAGATTAGTGGGGAAACTGCAGAACTGTAGCATTTGGGGAACCCTTAGAAAAGAGATACACTCTTCAATTATATACCATTGCTTTTTTCTTCCACTGAGTGGTAACTAGTGTTTGCATTGGGAGCCGTAAAGTTTCCTATACATTCCTTAAAGATCTTTTGGGATACTAGAGAGTAAGAGCCAAGGCCTGGCTTCTTAGTGGTGCCAGATACCACGTAATTGGAGAGCCAGGTCCTGTTGCCTGTCTCCAAAATAAATTAGGTTCTTTGGGAGCTCTGTTAACTTTTGGCACTATTTGGAGGACATTAAATTACTTTTTCTGTGCTGAGGAGAACCTCTGAGATCTATAAATAAGGAAACCCAGTGGTCTTAATTCATAAAGGTGTCTCTCAAAGCTTTTCCATGCTGGCCCAGCTCTTCCCTGCCTGCTATTAACACTAGATTCTTTTCAGTCCAGTGATAGAACTAACTCTCAAACTGTGTTCAGTGTACTCAGCAAACCACACATTTATACTATAACATCTATGTGTCGATCACGGTGTGTTCCTATGGATTAAAGCCTTAGTCTCTGTAGTTTGTGTTTAAAGTAGGTGACTTGCCTTTTCCAAATTGTCTTGAAGGTATGGATTTTGGAACTGGGCTGCCCATATTGGAGTCTTGGCTCCAGTTAATGGTTGTGTGCTTTTCTGCTTGTTTTCCTTACTTGGAAACTGGTGTTAATGATCTTTCCCACTCTGAGACAGGATTACTATGAAGGGTATCAAATTCGCAGGGGTTAAGCACTTAGAAGGTAGGATGTGCTGTTGTCTACGAGGCCCACTTGCTGACTCCCTCTCACCTGTGTTAGGTAACTCAGCTCTCTCAGCTCAGCCATATATGGCTACTCAGTCTGCCTGGTAACTGATGAATGACTTGAGAGGGAGTTTAATTCAACCTGTTCTCACTCCTCTCTCTGTACTCCTTCCTGGGTTGTCATTTCTGTTCCCTTTGCTTTAACTCTTTGTTTTCCAGTAGTTCATTCCCAAATGTAAATTCCTGCCTTTACTTCCTGTTAGAGCCTCAGACTGACTTCAGAACGTCTCCATAAGAAATCTTAACTTCTCAAGTTTAACATTTCCAGCTTAGAATTTTTTGTCCTCCTGAAACATGTGGGGGGGGGGTGCAGGGAGGTGCTTGTGCAGTGTGTAGGTGGTATAGTTGGGTGTGTGTGTTTGTGGATAGGGGATTGCAAATGGGATGTGGGGGGTGGAGTGAGAGACTTCTCTCCATCACACACACCCCTTTTGTGTGGGGGGGGGCAGGATCTGTGATTGGACCTGGAGCTCCCCACTTAGGCTAGACTGTCACTGCCTTCCTAGAGTTGGGTGAAAGGCACACAGTGTGCCTAGCCTTTTGAGGGGTATTGGAGACTCAAGCTCAGCTCTCCATGTCTGTGTGGCACTTCACTGGCTGAGCTCCTACTTCCCAGCCCCTGAAAACTTGTGGTTCTTCATCAGCCTTTTCCCATCTCAGTAAATGGAATCAGCAGCTCCTGAATCAAGGCAAGGAGCAGCTTGTTTCTCATTTCCTCCTCTCATTTGCTGTCCGTCTCTACCCATTCATTTCTCTTTGCCTTTCTATCCACCACTGCTCACCCTTGCTTGTGCTGCTTAATCAGTAGCTTTCAGGTGAGTCTCTTGAGTTTCTGCTGTCCATGCTGTACCCTAAAGCCAGAGCAAGCTTTTAAAAGTGCATGTTGAATTGTTTCTTTCTTGCTAGTCTCTTGTCTGCTTACATCCTTTGCCCGGAGTATGCACAGATGTGAAGATTCCAGAGAAACCTTGCACTATTTAATTTTCTGGCCTATAATAGTTTCACCACAGAGATATCCTGACTGAATAGAATGTTTGTTTTCTTATTTTCTGTTCACACCCCTTTCCTTTTTCCTTTGTCAAAGGATGAACTTTGGAAGATCCAGGAAAAGTTGGAATGTTACTTTGGCTCCTTAGTCGGCTCAAATGTATACATGACTCCAGCAGGATCTCAGGGCCTCCCTCCCCATTATGATGATGTCGAGGTAAGAGAAGACACATAGTGTCCAGGCTGGAAAGCAGGAGCTGCTGAGAGCCCTGCTTGTTCTGTTGTTGGGGTTGGTGTCAGGCTGGTAGATCAGGCTGTTCTTCTCTGTCCTCTCTGGAGATCCTGACCTCATCTCCAGGTTGGGATGCTGAGTTAAAGCATGTTCCTGCCTGGCTGCAGCCTTGCTGATACAAAGAACAGTCTTCAGAAACAAGATTTCCTTTTTTCTTTCTTTCTTTCTTTCTTTTTTTTTTTTTTTTTTTTTTTTGAAATTCTCTATAAATTGACTTTTAAAAAAAATTTACAAAGTAAGGTGACATCACATTTTTTCATTTGCTTTCACTTTGTCCATTTTCAGTGGTTGCCAACAATAAGTGTATTTTTTCCATTTATAAAAATCTTGGTGCATCTTGAATGAAGGTCCTGGTTCCACTTAAGCCCTGGCACCTTGACAAGTGTTGATTTCATTCTTATGTGGCTTCCAAGAAAATGTTAAGTCATTGGCTTGAGTATTTTGTAGAGTCGTTTTTGTACTTATACAAGGTGTGAACACATTCTAACCAAAAAAAATCCCTTTATTCCTCTGAGAGCTATTTGATATAAACACATTGTCTAAAAGTGTTTTTTTTTTTTTTTTTCTTAGTAGACTATTAAGACAGTTTTAGCCAAATAAAGAATAAAAGGCTATAATGTTTTCCTATCTGTTAAGGCTCCTTGTAATTTTTAAGCTTGGGGTCCTTCACTTATATCAGATTTTTCTATCAGATTATGGCTTTCAGCTGCGTAGCTATTAGAAGATTCAAAAGCCAGTGGAGCATAAAGAGCTTGGCAGTATCTGACGAAGTGAAAAGAATGGATGTCCGTCACCAAGATTCCTGATTCCTAGTAGTGGAAGCATATGTCTATATAAGGGGCAGGTGTTTCTGATATTTGAAGGTCCTCGAAGCTTCTTGCCCACAGATTGTCAGGAAACTTTCTCATACTCTTGGGTCTGTGTCTTTCTGTAGGTTTTTATCCTGCAGCTGGAGGGAGAGAAACACTGGCGCCTCTACTCCCCAACTGTGCCCCTGGCACATGAGTACAGTGTGGAGCCTGAGGCCCGGATTGGCACACCAACACATGACTTCATATTGAAGGTACGGGAAGGGTATGTGGCACATCTTGGGAGCTTGTCTCTGTTGATATGATAAATTCGGGCAGTTTCCTGGTAGTGTAGAGATCCCTGTGGGGATATACACTGAGGGTTCCAGGGATGGGTAGCTCTCACTGTAGCCCACCAGACAGGTGGCTTCTTCTGTTAAGGTCTTAGCGAGTGAGCTAAGGTAGTCAGTCTTCATCTTTCAAAAATTCCTGTCTGCATGTGTGATCCAGCACAGCAGAAATAAGTTGAATTCAGAGACTCACCGACTTGTCTAGAGTGAATGTGGAAGGTGTGGTGTTGGCCTGTCTCTCCACATTTAAGCCAGTAGTAGCATGTAAGCAGGGCACAGCCAAGGTTCCCTTTCTTTTCTTGGCAGAAGTTCTAGGACCACTTGGTTTCTTCCTGATAGTGTAACTCTTCCCTTCCCCAGCATAGAGTTGCTTGGTGAGTAGTCGCTAGGAAAGTGCTCATGGATGACTCTCTTCTCCAGGGAGCCGAGGAGCTTGACCATGTGTTGCTTCCTTGGCATTTTGCTGCAGTTTTGGATGGGAACACAGGCTCAGACAGGAGGGACTTGAGGAAAGGATGTAGGGAGACAGGAATAGTTTCATAAATTAACTTCATGTTCTTTATTAGAAAATGTATGTACTTTTCTTTAATAGCAGTATAGAAAAAGGATTGACTTAGACTGCTTCAAAGATTCTTACATTGGAACTATTTGTGTAGTTAGCGTTCCTATATTTCTTGCATCTTGAGGGTATCACTAATGCCTAATTCTTATCTATGTCAATATCTCTTTCTTGACTTTAAGATTTGCCTGCCAGAACCTAGGAGGAAACAGTATCTTGTTTTTGGGTGGGTGCCTGTGTTATAGGAAACTTGAATAACAAGTATGATGTTTTTATGTGCATGTGATGAGCTGTTACTAGACTACAGTTCATTGGCCTGCTAGATAGTTCATTGGAGCACAGTCCCACTGATTCAAAATGCATTGTCCTATTTACTGCTCACATTCTACTCTGTTGGACCTGTAAGCCAAAGATTACTCAGAAGGGCACTTCAGATGGACTCTGTAGTATTTACTTTTCTGATGCTGGCATAAAACACCGTGACCAAGGTAACTTGTAAAAGAAAGCACTCTATTGGGCTTATGGTTTCAGAGTAATAGAGCCCATGGTGGAGGAACTGCTGAGGGCTCACGTCATGCACTGCAAGCAAGCTGAGAAAAGCACAAGGCTTGGTGGGAAGCTTTTAAAGCTTCCAGCCTGCCTCCAGTGACACACCTCCAACAGAACCAGGGACCTTACAGTCCTTCCCAATCTGCCAGCAAATGAGAACCAAGTATTCAAACGTGGGAACCTAGGAGGACCATTCTTTTTCAAACCACCACACTCTGAGACAGGAGGAGAGGCTGCAATGAGAATTCCAAGCCTTCCCACTGTTCTAGTGCTAGTCTGTATAGTGGGTCTAGCCCTTCTCTCTGCCTGGCGTAGGTAGATTTGAATTAAGCTGATGTCACTTAGCTGCATTGCCCTTTAGCAAATAAATTATTATCTAAATCAGGCTGTGGGGATTGAAATATTACATTTTGATGCTTCCTTTATAATAAAATTCCTTAGATAAGATATCTGTATGTCTGTAAGAATCTGTTATCATAGTAATTGTTGTAATAATATAGATTTAATTTATAATAGTCCCAGAGGTCACAAGTCTTAAGTTGGCCCCACTGGTGTAGGTAGAACTTCCTTCCTGCTGGGGAGAATCTGTTTCCTTGTCTTTCCCCAAAGGCCTGAAGGCAGTATTCAGATCCTTGTGGAGTGGATGAAGTATGTATGTGAAGGCCTCAGGGTAGTACAGAGCTGATAAACAATGGGTGTAATTGTCAGAAATTTCTTTTCCTTGAAGTACTGCCATTTTGATGTCATTTTAGAGTAAACCAGCAGCCAAACAAGCTCTTAACAATACACACACACACACACACAGAATACTTCATATACACATCCACACTTAATATATTTCATACATATACACATGCATACTTTGTACATACACACATGCATTTTTTGGCTTGCTTTGAAGGAAATTTTATAAATTCCCTTTATACTGGTGTATTTGAGCTCTGCTTCCCAGGTTCCTGGGATGAGAACTGGCAGTGACTAGTAAAACCATACCCCATCCTGCTCCAGTGTTTGGGAACAGCATTTCCTTAATCCTCTGAATAATGCTGTAGGTTTTGGGACTGTTGTCCCATTTTAGTGACAGAGAAACTAAGGTGTGAGGCAGATGAGCAAGTTGCACTGGTCCAGTGACTGAAAGCCCTAGCTTAACCAAGAGGGAGTGAGTTGCACTCCAGAAATGGGGTGTTACCTTTTTTGCATCTCGGGCTTGTGGGGGTAGTTTCAGGTATATCTGGTATCTTCCTTGAAAATCAAGACAGTGACAGGGCTCACAGACACCGCATGAGCCAGGTACAGACTGTTCCTGGACAATGGTTTCTAGAATGTAGAACTTAAAGCTAAAATCATGTTTATCTTCTTGAATCAAAAAAGACTGATGCGTACTTAACACCTCTCTCCTTCCTTTAGCCTGGTGATTTGTTGTACTTCCCCAGAGGGACCATTCATCAGGCAGAAACTCCTTCAGGCCTGGCCCACTCCACTCATGTGACCATTAGCACCTACCAGAACAAGTAAGGCCTTTGCTTCCTACTGACCTAGTATCTTAGGACAGCTCTGAGTAACTGCTCATAGCAGCCACATTCAGGACAGAACTGAGGCTGTTGTCCACTACCATTTGTTCTGTGCTGCCTCTCATGCTGACATGGTGTCCGTAGGTATTATTGACCTGTCTAGATATCCTACTGTAAACCTCATAGATCTCACTCTGGGTGAAGATAGAAGACAGAGGGTCCCTCTGAGAGGCATGGAAAAAAAAAAAAAAAAAAAAAAAAAAAAAAACCTGTTAATGCGTGGGGATTAAGATTAAGATTCACTGGACTCAGTATAGGTTAAGTGAAGTTTATTCGAGAAATTCACTTACACATGAAACAGATGGCTGCTGTGGGTTCCCACTCCATGGATGCCACCTGGACGCTCTCTGCAACCCAACCAGGAAGCAAGAGATTGAGCTGGGGTCCAGGGACCTCAGACCTAGCCTTCTCCTGTCACATCAGAACCTGTGACTCCGCCCAAACAGGAGTGGTCAGTGCAACAGGTGCAGTGGGGTGGATATGTCACTACAACTTGTAGCTATAGGTATGTCACAGTAGGTTTGCAAAGAGACCCCTGAAGAGTAGAATATATTCAACTCGGCTATTAGGGATGGACTCAGAGAAGACTTGACATACGTCTGAATAAGTCCTAATGGATGATTAACTAGGTGTGGGTCATAAGGTTATGGTAGGTAGGAGAAGGCATTTCCAGACCAAGGGACATCAAGTTCCTCTTACTGAAAAGCAGTAACTTGTAAAATGAGTTAGTAAGTCTAGCTCTGCTTCCTCATGACTGCTCTATGAAACTTACTCTGTTGAGATGTACTAGGGGAAGTAGCAGCATCTTGGCCATTTGTACATGGTTGAGAGGCCTTTGTATTAGGTTTCCATTTTTGAAAATACAGGACTAGATAAAGAACAGAAAGTCTGAGGCCTGTCAAGATAAGCAGGGGCAGACAGAGAGATATGGCCCATTGGGTAAGAGAGCTTACTATGCAAGTGTAAGGACCTGAGTTCGGATGTCAGCACCCATGTAAAGTAAAGCAGTTGGGGATGATGTGCATGTACCTATAACCCCACTGTGTCCCCGCTATAGACAACAGGGACAAGGGGATCACTGGGACCTGCCTACCATCATGGCTCCAGGTTCTGCTAAGAGGCCCTCTCTGAGAGGGATATGGCAGTGAAAGAGCAGGACACCTGACAGCCTGCTCTGTCCTCAGTGTGGACATGCACACACAGTCATTGACGAATGTACTCACACTCACAGACACGGAAGAGTAGGGACAATTGAGAGTGAGTCATAGGAACCCTGAAAGTTCCAGGACAAAGAGTATCAACCTTGGGAATCACATAGCTGGTGTTCCATCTTCTGGTGTGCCATCATCACAGCCACAGTTAATCCCTTGTTTCCTGACTCTGCTTACTGGGAGCATTGCTGGCTCCATGGTAGAATTCTTGCTTTGTTATCATCTGGTTTCTTTCTTTTTCTTTTTTTTCTTTCTTTTTTTTTTTCTTTTAAGATTATTTTGTTTTTTGTATCTTAGTGTTTGGCTGAATTTGTGTGTGTGTGTGTGTGTATATACATACATACATACATACATACATACACACTGCATGTGTGCCTAGTTCCCTCAGTCCACAAGAGGGTGATGGATGCCTTGGAATTAGAAGTACAGGTAGTTGTAAGCCACCATATGGTTGTGCTGGGAACCAAAACTAAGTGCTCAAGAAGTTCTTTTAACCACTCCAAGCCACCTTTAGTGTGTGTGTGAGACAGAGACAGGAAATGGGGAGGGGGAGACAGACAGAAGTAGAGCCGGAGCCAGTTAGCTAGCTGTGTTCTCTCCTCCCACTGTGGGTTCCAGGGGCCACAGTCAGGCATTCCTGGCAAGCACTGTTACTTCCTGATTCATCTCGCCAGACCTGTTGTTTTTCACTGTCTCCTTTTCCATTGTATGTATAATGCTATCCACCTTTTATTACCTTAAACCAATCATCTGGGGCTAGGGGAGAGTTTTCCAAGTTCCAGGTTGCTGGTCTGGGCTGTGAGTGGGCACTGTGGCTGATGTATGTTGTCTAGACTCTGATTTGGATAGGAAATGCAGGAGCTAGAATGGAAGAATGTAATCTGCGAGCCAAGCCTTCCCAGGTGTTTCTGTGCTCCGAATCTGGGCTCCTACTGTGGTAAGGAAATGTGCAGCCTCTTCTTAACACCTCTCAAAGAGACATCATTGAAATAGCAGGGGTCTTTTATGTGGACTGCTGCAGATAGAATTTGGCGATACAAAGCAAACCCTCAGGGAGTGTTAGTTCTGATTTTTGGAAACTCCCAAGATAAAATTCTTACTCTCAGAAGAATACTTTATCTGCCATCAAATTCCTTTATGAACTATTGGCATGATTCTCACTCAAAGCCCTACAAAGGGAGTGTGTATTTTCCTTGTTTGGAGATGTGCCTTTATCTTCCATGTTCAGCAAGAGTGAAGGAGGCTGTGGCATTAAATCTCACATCAGTATGACCACCACATAGTACATACTCTGACGCAAATATGTCTCAAGGGGCTCTTGTGCCCTCCTTCGCCACTCTCCTAGAACAGGAAAGTGCCAGTTCCTGACTGAGAAGCTGAAGCCAGACTGTCAATTCCCATTTTGCATGTAGCCCTCAGTTTGAAATCTGCTGGTGGTGACACTGGAGAAATTTGAACAAGCTAAGGAGTGTTTAAAGGAAACAAACCCACAGAGTGTTTTTCTTACTTTAACTGGTACATGGTTGGGAAAGAGCCAGTTTTAATGGTCACTGTGGAGGCAAAGTTAATTAACACTGTTATTTATCTCTAGGTGTCATTTTTGGACACTGGCTGGCTTTCTATCCCAGTAAAATCATTATTAGAAATGAATTTTGTTATAAACTGTTGATGTTGGTACATATTTTACTGAGGATCAGCTTCCCTCTTACTAAGTAAAATGTGGCATGTTACACTAAGTACAGAGATTGTCTATTACCTTAAATGCATTCCTGTTGAACTTAGTGCGTGTAAGATTTTTTTTTCCCCCCAGGAATTTTATGGAGTGCTGAAATTTCCCATAAAGCTGTCCCTCTTGAGGCTTGTGTTTAGATTGATCATTTGAAGTTCCTTCTTTGTGGTAGTATCTGTTTAATATTCTGAGTCCTTAGAAATGGGCAAGAGGGACACAGCCGGTAGTAGCTTTGGTAGTAATGGGTTTTTACATATATTGTTTTTCATTAACAACTTTGGTTATTTTCGCTTCTTGCTTCATGGTCTAGCTCATGGGGAGATTGCCTTTTGGATTCCCTTTCTGGCCTTGTATATGACATTACCAAGGAAGATGTGGCTCTGAGGACTGGAATACCCCGGCAGATGCTCATGGTGAGAACAGAAGCAGTAGAAATGGACCAGGACAGGCGAAGCCCTGCCTCCTAGGGACCCAAGGACCTTCCTCCTGGGTGAAGTGAGCTAGCTTTCTTTGCTCTTCTGCTGAGCTGCAAGGTTTACACAGCAAGAGTGTGGCTTCATGTGGGGCCATTCATCTGAGGCCATCTGTGACTGTTGTTTAAAGGTGTTTTCATGTATTTTCACAGTAGTAAGACTGGGGATATTGGCTCAATAACTAGTTGAACAAATAAATATGGCCACCAGTCTATAGAGCACACATCAGGTTTTTAGTTCAAGAAGAGGCACATGCAGACCTGGGTCTAGGTATGTTCCTTGGGTTTCCTGACCATTTCTGCATTTGGAACAGGCTGACTTTTAGACAGTTGATTGGGGCTGAGTAAAAACAAAGGTTATTTTCATGACCTAACATGATCAGTGGCAGACTTTCCAAAGACAGAGCCTGAACTGTACCATATTTCCAAGGATCCCCCTTTCCAAGCAATTCTGAAAGTTGTTTTAATTACTGTTTTTATTTACATTTAACAGATGATAGACAATGTAAGATGAACATTGTGAACAGAGAAGTAATAGGCTTCCTTAAGGTCCAAGCTGTCTATCCCTGTCATGGGATGGCAGTGGGTATTAGGCTATAGTGTTGCGATTGAGGCTCTGCATACTACAGTGAAAATTGGTGTGGGCAGCTTCTACCAGCATCCAGTCAGGGTTCATGTCTTCATTTTCAGAAGGTGGAAACCCCAACTGCTGCACTAAGAAAGTTGAGTGGCTTTCTGAGGACCCTTGCAGACCGGCTAGAGGACAGAAAAGAACTCCTGTCATCAGACATGAAGAAGGATTTTGTCATGCACAGACTCCCCCCTTACTACATGGAAAGTGGAATAGACTTGTTGGAACCAGGTAGAGCTTGATGTTTCTTTGTGGAAGTCTGGGGATAGTAGGAGATGTTTGATGCTTCGTGTGGACAGCAGTCTCTCTTTAGTGTATATGGTTGACAGACATGCTGTCCTCATTACTCCCAAGTTGTTTGATTACAGCATGACAGGAAGTAACTAATATTTGAGTTGTCCATTTATCATCTTCAAAAATGTTGAAGAACTTGAATGTTGACATATTGTTAGAATTAAGGCAAGCATGTTAAAATGCTGTCAGCACCAGGTAAATAAAAGAATGTCAAAGATAACATGGATCTCCCATGTTGTAGGTGACTAATAATGTGATAGGTCTAGTCTTCAACTGATAGAGTGCACTGCTAGATAGGTGATGTCAGTGTCCTTTAGCAAAAGCCACCAAGAACACACTCCCAAATTCAAAGTTGTATATTTTGACTTGTTGCAACGGGAAAACTGTACACAATGAATTGAGAATTGTAAAAAGGCATTAGAAAGGACTTCCTGGGTTTAGGCCTGATCTTGGATATTTTGGAATTTTGAGAACTCACGGAAGCACTGCGTTGGCATGGATTGGTGCTGCCTGATGGGTCTCTTCTATTACTCAGTGAGTGGGAAGAATGCATGAGGCTCTAGTTAGCTCAGATATGCAACACCTTCATTCAGAAACCTGGGTAGATGAGTGTTGGGACACTAATAGTTGAGCAGTGTTTTTAGTTTTGCTTGAGTTCAGAACCACTTATGAGTGGTGGTATAATGCATTTTGATCACTAGTCAGTGATTTTGGCTGGCAATGATGTTCTGTTAAACAGTCAGCAAGAATCTTTTCCTTATGAAAGTTTCACCTATCACAAGGTGACAACCGTAAGTCCCCACTTACAGTGATCCTATGTACATCTTTATATCGTACAGTCTTTGAAGGGAGTTTAGTTTAATTTTGATTGCATCTGTTCACAATGGCACATTTTATCAGTAATGTATTAATCTTTAGAACATAACTTGCTAAATTAATTCCTGCACAATTTCCAGAGTGTTTAATGGTTTCCCTAATTTAGCTACTATATTTGATAAAGTTTTGATTCTTTAGTATTTTCCAGACCAAATGACCTATCAGGCCAGCTTGTTTCTTGTGGTTTTTATTTTAGTTCACTTTAGAAAGTAGTTTTGTTCTGTGGATTGTCATAAAGGACACAATGCTGCACTTAAATGGCCTAAATCATGTCCATTATCACACAGCTCTTTTCAGAGCCCAAGTATAATAGAGATGAGCATTGATTGGCACAGAAAGCAACACAGTTCTGTCCATCCACTGTGCTTTGGTGGGCTTATTTATACCTATTTAATGTACTTTTTTTGGTGTGGGATTGGGAATTAAATACAGGGCTTTGTGCATTGCCAGGTAAACAGCCTCCCTCTGAGCCCCACACCTAGCCCTTTAATTCCCCATTAACTTGCTTTATTATTTACCTAATGATATGCCTCTATCACTGTAAGAATGAGACCCATGGGGGTGCAAGCTGCACTTTTAATTATCACCATACATGTTTGAGTGAGTACTTGGGAGAAATGTGAGCAACAAGATGAATTTCAAGCAAGGTTGAACTTGTTGGTTCCTTTTTGATAGCTAACTTTCTCTTGTAGGTATAAAGTTCCCAACGTTGGACAGCATAGTAAAACTGCAGTTTAAAGACCACACTGTCTTCACAGTAGGGCCAGATGAGGATCAGTCTGTGAGTATCTAGAGGAAATCTCTTTCCTCTACTCATACTATTTCCAAATTACTGTAGTCAGGTAATGCCTGTCTCACAGTTCCTGTTCCAAACTGTCTTTTTTCTATTGGGAGTTCAAGGGCTTAACCTCATCCTCCTCATGTTTCTGTCTTTGCTTCCTACTCTGCTTCTGGCTAATTACTCTTGCATGGACACCTGAAGAACTTGTATTGATTTTCTCTGTCGAAGTCCCTCTCCTTCTCTATACTGCAGAAACCTGGCTTCAATTCTGTAGTGTAGATTATGGAGAACAAATTCTATACCCTGTAATTTGCCTTTTAATTCAGTGCTTCTCCAAATTGGCTAATAGGAAAGCTTTCTAAAATTGTAAATTTCCATGGCTAGAGTGATGGTTTAGTAGTTAAGAGCACTTGTTACCCTTACAGAGGACATAGGTTTGATTCTCAATACCACATGACAGCTCACATCTGTCTTTAACTCCAGTTCCAAGGCATTCAGTGTCCTTTTCTATCCTCTGTAACTTCCAGGCATGTAGGTGGTATGCAGACATACATGCAGGCACAACACCCATACACATAAAGAATGGTTTTTTAAGGAAAAAAAATTCTGAGTTTTATCTGGTTTGAAATGGATTCTCAACATTTTTTTTTAGCCCCCCCCCCCCCAAACAATACTAAGTCTATGAGAACTATACTTGTTAATTCCAAACATTGCAGGGCTGCAAAAAAAAAAGCCAGGTTCCAGCCATCAGGGCTAACTAAGCCTGGAAGAGGATGACATAAATAAAATCACTAAAGTATACATTCAAGGTATACCTTGTTTTTAAAAAATCCTAATGATTCTAATAAGTGTGAGACATTGTATGTTTGTCCCGGCCTTAAGCAGTGACAAGGAATGAAAAGGTTACGGAAGAAATAAGTTACCCCATTTAGCATGGGACTGATGGGAGTAGGGGCCATTGGTGACACACTACTGAAATTTAATTTTTGTAAATAAAATAGCTTGTATTTCTCAACAATTGAGAAATTCATAATTTACTAGCTTGTTCCTAGAAATATCAAATTTTGACAGAACAAAGTGCAGATGGTTCAAGGCTTCTCTTGAAAACTGTGGCTTCAAGTATCAACAGTTATATTGTAACTTTGAGCCCAGAGGATTCTAAACGGATGGATTAAATTTCACTGGAGGACCAAGGCTTTAAGGTTTTTCGCTGGGACCAGATATGATGCTGTATAGCTTATTTCTAGCAGGTCTCTGAATTCAAGGCCAGCTTGGTCTATATAGCCAGTTCCAAGCCAGCCAGAGCTACACAGTGAGCATCCCTATATCCCCTCAAAATATTTTCCTTTATGGCAAATTATTTTTAACCCTCCCACCCCCAAGTACTTTTCTTGTTGGTAACTTACCTTTTCTTTAAAGGATGAAGCGCCACAAAAAGTGATTTACATCTATCATTCGCTAAAGAATCTGAGACAGACACACATGATGGGAAAAGATGAGGAAACACAGGTGTGTTCCAACTGGAAAGTCTTTCCTGTAGTTTGGGTTATGGCTGGAATCGTTACTTGTGGTTGACAGGTCATGTGCATTTACAGGTACAATGTGGACCTGACATTTAGATAGGACACTTGCACAGGGATAATTAAGTCAGCAGCTTAAAACAATGTGACATGGGAAAAGTAATGAATGCCAACCATTCAGCAAAAGCTTTACTCTCAAAGTAGGCTGTTGGTTTAAGCTTTCATGTGGGACTTAATTTCATGTTTGTGAAGGTTATTTCATATATATATATATATATATATATATATATATATATATAATACACGTGAGACAGTTGTAAGTTTATACATAAATCTTTATGAAGTGACTGTTCTAAAACAATGTATCCCTTCTTCAGGTTCATGGGCTTCGCTTCCCTTTATCACATCTGGATGCTCTGAAGCAAATCTGGAGTGGTTCAGCAGTGCCTGTCGAGGACTTGAAACTTCCCACAGATGAAGAAAAGAGGAACCTGGTACTGTCTCTCTGGACAGAATGTTTGATCAATGTACTCTAGTGCCTGTATACAGAGAACTGTAATTTCCTATGCACATGTTTTCATTAAAAGGAGATTTAATTCTACGTGACTACTGGTGCCCTGATTAACACTCTGGGTGGAGGCAGGCATGGTTCCATCACAGTGCCGGGAGAAAGAAGCTGACATGTACTCAGACATGAGAAGGAAAGCAGGAAATTACTCGTTATCCCAGACTGAGACTTCTGACAAGTTTATTTAATCCAGTGTTGTAGAAAAGGCACAACTCCAGGACACGTGTCATAGAGAATTATGTCATTAACCTGGTTTTGTCTTGGTTCTTTGGAAGAAATAACTCCTTTAAAGAGCTTCCTTGGCTCCAAAAAATACTTTTTAACAATTAAAAACTTAGGAAGAAGGTTTGCATATGTCTTTACATGCAACCTCTTCCCATTAAAATAAACACATTTCATGAATACTGCCACATTATGAGAGACACTCAGCATCTGGATGTGAGGGGCTTCCAGATGTTGCTTAGAAGATGACTTTAAAAAAAAAAAAAAAAAACCAAAGACCAGTATGTACATGGAAAGACCAAGTATATAAAAAAATACTCAAAGTTGGAGGTCTTTGAGTCTAAAGTGCATAGACATTGCTATTTAAAAATATTGCTGTAGAATTTATGTAAAAATAGCATTTTATTTCTGGCAAAAGTTGGGAGCTGAAAGCAGTGGCTGTCTCAATTAGTTTAGTCCATCTTAGGCAAGGGCAGCCTGTTGACCTGTGCAGGTGATGACAGTAACTGATTTGTCTGTCACTGAGTAGAGAAAGTCAGGTGGCAAAGTAGAAGCCCTGTTTTGCTTTATGAACCTTTTGGGGGTAGTCCAGTCCTTTACTCCAGGGAGAGTCAAATCAGGAAAAATGGACAGCCAGGTGGGCACTCCAAGGTTATACATTTGTAGTTAGAAAAACAGTAAAGATGGGCCATATTGCAGAAAATACATTAGTACTAGTGCCTTCTGCCTCAAAAGACCTAGGTCCCTTCCTGGGGTCAGTTCATTTAAGAGTATAAATACTTATGGGTGTTCCGGTTATAAAAGCTCCAATATGGAAACCCTAAGGTTTATTTAATACAGCAGCAGCTTAATACAAAAGCTTATTAAATATGTCTTCAGGTGATGCTAAAAATTACTCATCTTCCTGCAGGAGTGTGACAACCTGTAGGAGTTTGTCTCCCTGTGCCTCGTTCATACAAGCATGGAGCAGGATGCTAATGTAATACTAATGCAGGCAATGGCACTGTCCAGTAATGCGACATCAAGAGTAGGATTCGTGTTTGGTGGTTAGGAGAGAGAAAACAGATTTCAGGAAATTGATCATCACAATTGGATCCATCGGGAAAAGAAATCATTACATTTTCTTCACAAGAACACTGCATAACTGGTGAGAATATTAGCTTTTCCATGGAGCAGTAGTTTCACTGCTTGGGAGAAAGTTCTTTCTGTGAGCAGTGTACTAGTGTGAACACAGCAACTTCCCATGCACACAGGGCATTCTTGTGATTCTCACAAGATTTCTATGTCCCACTTCTGCGATTCTTCTCCCTCCAGGGGTTGATTGACAATAACATGAGTCTTATCATAATAGTTTCCCCCTAAAGTAGAAATCACAAAAGATTATTTGTTACACAGATGATTAGCAACTGTACAATTTTTACAGCCTTTTATTTGCAGAGCAAATATTCATAGCCATTATTCACCTCAAACTGAAAAGCTAGAAAATACAACTGTAAATGTACAGTGCCCTACATACAATACCATACAAAACGAAGTCCCGCTAGTGAACTCTAGCCAAGTGTCAGGTACTGTTTTTCTACAGCAACAACCATAAATAATACTAGCCAGGGCCTTGCAGAATTGAAGACGAAGGTTAATTGCTCCTGCCATACATTGTTAGGATCACAGCAATTTAGTGCAAAGATGTTCCGAGAAAGAAACAGATGGCATCCTTGATTTTTGTAGATTTTGATGCTTCAAATTTAGAATTCCAACAGTGTGAAAATTTTACTATTCTAAAGCAGGGAAGCTATTAGATTTAGTTGTTGGGTTTTGTTGTTTTCTGGCTGCATGACCCTTAGCATTCATTAGTTCCTTCTTGGCACAATTTTAATATCGGAGGCCCACCTTTAACATCCAGGACAAGTTCATCGCTGAGATAAGAGCTGATGGTTCCATTTCTGTTCAGTCTCCACTTCTGCCTGAACTGCCCATGTTCAGTCCACAAGGCTACCTTGGCCCCTGGTGTGTCCCGGCCACCAATCACATCAAGACATGTGTCACTGGCCTACAAAATGGTTTAAGAAATTAAATGATCCACTGCATGTGCCAATATAAATAGGGTACTTTTTCCTTAGGGTGAGTGAGTCAGACATTCATGTAATTTCAGTTTATCTTTGAAAGTCGTTATGGCTGATGGACTGGAATGTTAAATCCCTATTAGCTTAAATGTGCCATGTGATGTTTGCTTTTCTGCTTTATTTTAATAATTTTTTCAAGACAGGGTTTCTCTGTGGCTTCGGAGCCTGTCCTAGAACTAGCTCTGTAGAACAGGCTGGCGTGAAACTCACAGAGATCCACCTGCTTCTGCCTCCCAAGAGCTGGGATTAAATGCATGCACCACCTGCCTGGATAGTTTTCCATTTTGAAATAACAAAACACTGTAGCAAAGATAATTCAGAATTCAGATACATAATATGCAAATACATAAGCAGGTATTAAATGCTTTTTCATTTTGAAGCATGAAAAGTAGTAAGCTGGGGTGTTCAATTCCCAGCACCTGCATAGCAGCTAACAACTGTAACTACAAGTCTGACACCATCATGCAGGCAAAACACCAATCCAAATAAAGCAAAAATAAACTATTTTTAAAAATAAGTCACTGGTAATAACAAAAATAGCAGCATTTTTCTGAATTAGTGCTCTGTCCCTAAAGCATCAACCATCAATGAGAAAAAGCTTGTTACTTAATTTAAACATCTTTCATACCAGATTCTTTTATGACTCCACTATATATTCTGAAAAGGGTTTTGGCAAGTTTGGAATAACAGCAACAACTGATTTTTTTCTGGGTCATCAAATAAGGAACTCTTCTCTTAAAAGCATATTGTTCATTTTGGCTCCAGTGGAATGAATCATTTAGGTGGTTGTGGTTCTTAAGACTTTAAATTTAGAAGTACAGTTTCAGTGCTTAAGTCCATTTTATATACATCAGGATTTTTATGATTATACAATGACTGTTTCTAGGAAGCCAACAATATTTTCAGCATGCCAGCTGATCTGGCAGTATTGTAGCTAACATACAAATGTCAACATCAGAAAGCATGATCTTTACCTTGGATTTGAAGAGTCCTCGGCAGTAGTGCCAGATCTGCGTGTCCTTCCCACTGTAGGGAGAAATGCACACTGACATTGTTCGTGCATCAGCTAGGTTCCCAGTGACTGTCAAATACTCATCCTGGGCTCGGTTCCTTATTCTGATGTACACTGCAGGCTATAAAATAGAGCAAAGTCATTTAAAAGGGGGGCAGGCAACCGGGTAAAAATTTTAAAACTTCCACACTGGAAAAGCAATCTCTCCGAATCAGGAAAGTGAGAAGGTACTTTTTAATAAATATGGTTTAATAAATTGGCTGATATGATTACATTATATTTTCTATGATTATTTTGAGTAATGTCAAATATTCTAAAAGGTGACCATCTGAGAGGGTGAAAGATAATAATTGCATTCATCAGAACTCAATGTGGCAAGGCTGGGGCAATGGGGAGTTAGACTTGGTGAATTTCATCACATCTCAAATATTCTGGGAGGGAGAGTAAAGGCAGGTACTGCCCAACATGGATCTTAGTGACAATACAGGAACAGCAAACATAGTAATCAGGCAGTGATTAAATGGTCAACAGCTGGTAAAGAAGGTCTTGAAAACCCAGAAAGAATGAACTTCTTCCACATTCAAAAGTCAGACTGCACTCCTTTGGAAAATAACACAATAAATCTGAGATGACACAATAAACCTGAGACCATTAAGAATAATAGCAAATTGTTTGCTGATTCTTTAGAGACATCAAGCCATGTGCTAAATGTTTTCTGTGCTGTTAATTTGTATGAATAATCAACCTTTCAGAGAGCATTTGTGCCTCCAGTTTTATAAAGTTGCGTAGATAGGGAGCCAGGTCTCTGGTAGGATGGCTCAGAGATCTATATAGGAACCCTAGGGCACTGTGTTGTATCCCCACCTCCATTAAGTATAAAACAGTAGAAGGGTACTGGAAGCAGCTCAACAGGATAAAGTACAAAAACACCACTGTCCCTTCTGGGTGACAGACAGCTTGCATCCCAAATAAAACTCTGGCTGGGCAATACATAATCTGACTTTCACTGGGGATAAGTGGATCACGATAGTCTATGGTAATACCACCAATGAATATTGTGTTTTGAAACTTATAAAACTGGTTGCATTTTGGTAAGCTTCTACTATGTTTAGCATTTCTAAGGAACCTAAGCATTTAAATTACAGTAGAATGGCAAGTGGTTTGTCCATAGAAGCCTGTCAAGTGCCTTGAAAAGTGAACTACTTCCACATTCACATTTATAACCACCCTGGTGGGACAAGATATCTTAGAGACCTGTGTGGCCTTCCCTTTAGCTATTGGCCTCCTGGAAGAATTGAACTTTCCCCTGGAATCCCAAGCTGAGAAAATGGGAAAGCTGAATGCCTGAGGAACTGTTTCTCAACAAGAGATTGCACAGTTCTGCAACTTAACAGAACACCTTCCAGGACAGCCTTGGTCTTAAACAATGTCACTGGTCATCAAGGCTTGGGCCCAAACCTTGACAAGGACTGCTTAATTAGTCATACCTTTAGCCCTCTATTTAAACCTACCCTTTATTTATATCCTGTCTGCAGACTGGGTGGGTGGGATCCTTTGTTGTGATCATGGTACACTGAATAAATCTGTCCCTGCTTTTACTATTTCTCAGGCTTTTACTCTAAGAACCTGGCATCAATAATTATAACGGTAATAATGTACTTAATTACCCATAACTCAGT